ACGAGGGAATTTCACTATTTAGAAAACGGGGGAGCCAGAATCCCTTCGGTATAACGAAAATTCGGTATAACGAGGTTCGGTATAACGAGGTTTGACTGTACATACGAAACGAGCAAGAATTAGATACGCACATGGCCAAAGACTGTGCTGCGTTGATGCCGTTGGAAAAATAAATGAACATCATGTCCACTCGTATACCCGCGTTTTGTGTTAAAAACGACGGAAATCAAGAACCCATACATAAATTGCCAAGTAGATGGACTTGATGAATCTTGTAGAAATCGCTCGATGTCGCTGTTACACAATAATCATGTCACTTTCGAATCGTATGACGTAAAGTAAAAATCAGGCCATATTAATAATAATCATACCACAAAAATTCAACAAATCAAAAGTCGCATAAATCACGTAATAACAAAAGAGCATGTTCATATAATGAAGACGCACGGAATAAGAACTCATTGACGAAATTGTTCTGACCAAAGGTGTCGTACAGGTAGATGAAGTATTCCAACAAAGATGGGGCAGTGAAGCGCTTGTGACAGCAACAAAAACAAGGAGAATTTGCGACAGAAAAAGATATTGGATACACTCGAGTATAACGCCGCTGATAGAATTTATTAACCAATAACATTGCCTGGGAATATAAAGCGGTCTTTTTGTTTAACCACGGACCCTGCGAAGTAGAAAGGAAACGATTACATAAGAGCATGGCTTAATCATATTATACTTATTGGAGAGCGTGAACACAAATCAGAAGTAACTCGCTTTGGCAGTTTCGCGTTTGTTTCTCCGACCGTCACAATGATTAAAAGCATTACTTACGGTTAATATTAATCAGCTTTGGTTGTTCTCAGAAAGACGATGTTGATCGTGAGAACGGTGATACAACACGCCTAGCTTAAGTAAGGCATTTAACGATGCTGCATGTATGAATTTTATTGGTTGAAAATGTCGAACGTATTTCGTAACGGCATATATTTGACTTTAATAATAGAAATTCTAAAATGCCAATTGTTAATTAGATACGACAGATGACTATATACCTTGACCCTGGTATGTCCCCCGCACTTGGCGTAATATAGATCATTATGTTGAACAACTAAAAGTATATTTTTTTGTTGGGAGGGTCTGGTGATCGGGACATGAGACGTGGCGCACAATCACTCCACAAATCGTGGGAATTTGTAGTCATCCATGAGCTTCTACAGAAAGCGTGTGCGTAGTTATAAAAGGGGATGAGGAATTGGGGTTTGGCGGCCATACGCAAAAAAGCTTTAATACAAAATTAAAATGTCAAGTAGATTTCATAACCACAAAAGATCAAATTCAGATTTCATCGCCAACGATCCATTCCGTGATATTGAGAAGAACGCCTTGAGCATCTTTGACGCACAAGTTCGTAAGTATCCCGTATTGTTATCTGCTATTGCACCACTCGAACCTATATAACTCACTCGAAAAAATAACAAAAAGCTACAACACCGCGTCGTCGGCATAGCGAGCTGATACCCAACGATCCTTTCCGTCAAATCGAACTTAACGCTGAGAAAATCTTTGATGCGAAACCTAAAGCGAGACGTCGTCATAGTTACGAGCTCATTCCTAATGATCCGTTTCGAACAATAGAGCTCCATGCTCCAGAAATATTTGGCGATTTGCCGACTCATAAGCAAAAAAGTGAATTTATTATTAATGATCCCTTCAGGACCATCGAACTTCATTCAGAGGAAATCTTTCACTAACGTCTTGTGACGTAGGTAGGTAGGTTGATCACTGACTCTCGTCTATGTCTTTATGGATTCGTGAATTCTTTTCTGATAGTTTCTTTTGTTACTATAGGCAAATGGAAATGAAGCCATCGCTCTCTAAGATATCTTATAATACCGCACATCAGCCTTTTGTAGGCTCTGGTTGAAGCAACATTGTTTACCTTTATTAGTACATACTTTTATTTTGTAAAAAGCTCGCTTATTGTAAATAAATTTCTCGTAGGACAATGGATCCATATCAAGTTCGGGTGTTGATCGAGAAGCTTTACTATAATAATAAAGATAATATTGTAAATATTTTTGTTTGATAAAAACAGTGTATAGTCAAACCTCGTTGTGCCGAAGGGATTTTTTGAGTTGTTGCTAAGAGTGGCGTCTAGTTAGATGAGAATAAAAATAACGTTCATCGTAACTTTATTACGTGCATACTGATAAATAAGCGCGCTTCATTCATATTGTAAATAAATGTCTTTAAAATATAATTTTCAACAGTCTCTTAACTGAGCAACAACCCTAAAATATGACACAAACCGCAAAAAAGGTTGAATTTTATCGTCAAAACCCATCAAGTTAAATAGCTGCAAGTACAAAATACTACAAGTGTCTAGGGTTGATACGGGCTGTTATTGGATCGAAAGATTGATACACTATTACGCATACACGGATTCTTTAATAAAAATAGTATTAAATCGGAGATTGTCCTGAAATAAATTTAAAAGTTAGAATTTCCTTAAACTATTGTTATGTTGATATCTGTGTTTATAAGAGAGTAATTAAACGCGCAGATAATCAATTTATAGGTCATTCTACTGGGGCGTAGTAGAGTGCGTGTCATCTATTGAAATAAATCGTCTAACTGTCAAAACCCTGAGTCATTGATATAGGAAAACAGTGATCTGAAAAAAGAAGAAGAAATGGGCTTGGATTGGAGGTGGTGACTGCGCGTTTTGAAATGGCTAGTTAATACTGTAATAGAGATTTGTATTTAAAAACTTTGAGTTTTGTTGATCCCTATACACTTTGTATCGACCAGCAAACAATCGCACGATTTACAATTGGACGACGGATACATTGTAATATTGATATGCTGAATATAGAAATACAATCGTTATGGCTATAAAGGAGACTGGTTATCATATGGTTGTAATGTGACGTAATGTGACAGTAACGTGAGAGATATGACATCAGCGACACAATTTATCACGTGTTTCATCGTAATAATAAGGTCAATTTTTTCGCGTTTTTTTTTTCTTCTTCGCCATGGATTGATATCAAACTAGTTTTAATCAGTCCTCACAATACACAAATAACAAAAAAAATTCGCTATTGCACACCTCTAATCTGTCAACCGTAGTTGCCGCGCAACAAGGACTGAACCTGAAGATTCAGAGTGGTATTTGGCGGTCGACGACATCTTGGTAGAAATGGATTCTACACCTGCTTAATCGTAGTTGCCACGCAACAAGGACTGTATTCGAAAGGACTCAGAGTGGTAATTAGCGGTGAGACAGGATTTTCACGTCTGTTTATCGTAGTTGCTGCGCAACAAGGCCTGGATCCGAAAGGGTTCAGAGTGGTAATTTAGCGGTCGACGATAGCTTGGTACGTGTAGACGTGGATTTCACATCCTGCTTAATTGTAATTGCCACGCAACAAGGACTGGATCGAAGGATTCAGAGTGGTAATTAGCGATGAGACAGGATTTCCACGTCTGTTACCTAATCGCCACGCAACAAGGACTGGATCCGAAAGGGTTCAGAGTGGTAGTTTAGCGGTCGACGATAGCTTGGTAAAAGTGGATTTCACATCCTGCTTAATTGTAATTGCCACGCAACAAGGACTGGATCGAAGGATTCAGAGTGGTAATTAGCG